TGAGAGCCACGGGACTCTTCAGCCTGGAAAAGCGCAGGCTCGGCGGTGACCTGGTGGCCACTTATAAGTTTATCAGGGGTGTTCAGTTTGTTCACCACAGCGCCCCAAGGGAGGACGAGGTCGAATGGTTATAAACTCCTGCAAGACCGATTGAGGCTGGACATAAGGAAGAACTTCTTCACTGTCTGAGCCCCACCCCGTCTGGAACAGCCTGCCAGCGGAGGTGGTTCAAACACCTACTTTGAACGCCTTCAAGACACATTTGGATGCTTATCTTGCTGGGATCCTGTAACCGAGTAACTGATCTGCCCGGGATCAGTTACTCTGATCAGTTTCTCTGATCTGCCCGGTCTCCGGGATCTGCCCGGAGACCGGTGACGCGAGGCTGGCGGAGCCGCTGTTGGGCGGCGCTGCAGTCGCGGGGCGGGGGCGGTATAAAGAGGGCGGTTCCGTGCGCGCTCTGCAGAGCTGCCCGGCTGTCGGGGGGGCGGTGAGTGCGGGCGCGGGGTGCAGGGCGGTGAGTGCGGGCGCGGGGCACGGGGCGGCGGTGCGATCCGGGAGCAGAGTCACGGTGCCAGACTCGCTGGAGGTGTCCTCGCCGACCGTGTCACTGGGGGTAAAGAGACGCGCAGAGCTATGCAGCCTGGCCTCACACTTGTTTCTGTAGCCTTAACGTGCAGGGAAACCACTGTTTATTTGTGATGCTGTTGAAGGGCGGTGAGTGCGGGCGCGGGGCACGGGGCGGCGGTGCGATCCGGGAGCAGAGTCACGGTGCCAGACTCGCTGGAGGTGTCCTCGCCGACCGTGTCACTGGGGGTAAAGAGACGCGCAGAGCTATGCAGCCTGGCCTCACACTTGTTTCTGTAGCCTTAACGTGCAGGGAAACCACTGTTTATTTGTGATGCTGTTGAAATCTGGAGGGAAGTGAGTGGGACCTTGAAAAGAGACATACCTAGTGACAGAGTTAAATTACAGACATTTACAAAACCAAATGGATCAAGCACTATCTCCAGTTCATTTTCCTGCCAATGTTTTCAGTACTGGGTACCAGGGTCAATCCTTAACTGCAGAAGAAGAGCTGGCTAGGACATGGGCATCCAGCAGTCATCCCTCCATAACACCAGCTGCAATACACTTCAGGGCTAAGGGTGAATGAACCATTCAAAAAATATGTTTGCTGGTGAGGTTTTAAAGAGAAACTTCCACCAGTTCACTGGTGGGACACTTCAGTAGTCTCTGATGGATCCAGGTGCTTAAGTGATAATCCAGTTTTAACAGCAGTAGCTTCTTTTGCAGGTGTAGAAAGAATATTTTCTTCCTCTGCCCTAATTCATTCTTCATTGAGAAACTGCTTGGGAGCAGAAACAGTGGACAGCTTGTCTGTCTTTTCCAGTCTATGAATAAATAGGAAGAGTTAAGGTGAAGACTGAGTTTGCTGCATAACTCAGTATTTTAAGTTTCTCATGTTGACTTGACTGGAAATATCTATTTAATTTTTGTTAGAAATACATCTCACATTTATAACTAAAATAGTTAAAAATTCAAAAATACATATGCTTGACTTGTTAAAATAATTATACATGTTTGGGCCCAGATTGTTGGGCAAAATCCTATTAGTCATCCCAAAGCACAGGTGTGTTTAGAGTGACTCTAATAGGATTTTGCCCAAAAATCTGGGTCCAAACTCAGCTCCTTATTCTGGGCTATGTACAGAGCATGCAGGCCTGGAGGGAGAGGTGTTAGTTGGAATATCCCAAATAGGATATTCCCCCATAATCTGGGCCCAAAACCACCTCCTCACCTGGGTCAATGTACAGACCTCACGGGCCTGGGGTCGACGGGCATGTGAGACGTGTGCTGCAGGTCAGGCAGGGGACTCCAGGCTTCAAGGGAGTCCCCTGGTGGCAGGGAATGGGGGTTTGGGGAGACCCCAAAAGGCTTTTCCCTGGTAATACTAGCCCAAAGGCAGCTCCTTATTCAGGGCTAAGTACCTAGCACAGGTCTGGGTGGAGAGGTGTCAGTTGGCAGTCTGGCACTCATAAAATGGGCTTAAGGTCAGACAGGGGCCTGCCCAGGCTTTTTTGGGAGAGTCCCCTGATGACAAAGATATGTGGAGCGGCACGACTAGCTTGTGAGACACGGTGTGTAGCCCCTCCAGGCCAGGCCTGTGCCCTGCTGGATTGGTCCTGTCCCTCCTCCCCAGACCCCTGCCCCTCACTCAAACGGCTCTGCCCTCTGCTCCCCCGCTGCTCCCTCTGCTCTGCACTTCCATGCCAGCCTGGCCTGCAGCACTGGGTCCTTCCTCTGCGGCCCCTCCAGGAGGTGGCAATGAGCACCCGAGGGCACTGGCTTCTGCCCCCACTAGTGCTGACCTCTGTCACTCTCCCACAGGCTCTCACTCCTACCAATATTTCTACATGGGGGTGTCAGATCCAGGCCCGGATGTTCCTGCCTTTACTGCCCTGGGCTACGTGGATGACCAGCAAATTCTCCACTATGACAGCGAGACACGGAGAGAGGAGCCACGTGGTGACTGGGTGCAGGGGGCCGTCGACCCAGACTTCTGGGACAGGGAAACCTGGGCCCTGCGGGGCTGGCAGGAGGGAGTTGAAGGGAACCTGATCACACTGCAGTTTCGCTACAACCAGACCGGTGGTGAGTGTGGGCAGGGGGCTGTGGGGGACCCTGGGACTGAGGGGAGACAGACAGGGGAGTGGGAGAAGCACATGCCCATCAGAAACACTTGGTGGGGATCCAGGTCTTTTGGATGTGGGGTGGTGGGCGTAGAGCAGGGCGGGACCTGGAGCAGCCGGCCATGGGGTAGAGCGCGGCCGGACCTGGAGCGGCAGGGAGGGGTGGGGGTGGAGTGGGGCTGGACCCCAAGT